CTTCTTCTTCTTCTTCTTCTTCTTCTTCTTCTTCTTCTTCTTCTTCTCCTTCTCCTCCTCCTCCTCCTCTCTTCTTCTCCTCCTCCTCCTCCTCCTTTCTTCCTCCCCCTCCTTCCTTCTTATCTTCCTCCTGTTTCTTTTTCTTCCTCTCCTCCTCCTCCTCCCATCTCTTAACATAAGGTATTTTAAGAATGCACGTAGTAGCCCCACAATTATGCATATAATTTTAAAAGAACACCAAAAGGAACACCTTTGCAAAACAAACAGGACCAGGTTGTATTTCTAGGATAGAAATTCAAGAGTTGACCATGAAACAAAAGAGATTTTGTAGCACAAGGGGATTCTTTCAGTAGTGAGGGCTATTCAGGAATGTATCTGGCATCACCCAAATTTAACAAGCAAACCTCTCTCCTTTCAGCAGCTTGTATGAACAACTTGCTGTTTTATTTTGCTAAAAAGTTGCTCTTTTAGCATTACATTGCAAGGTTTCAAAGAAAGGAAGATTTTGGTGTCCTGGAGGCCCAGCAGTCTCATTTGATTGCTGGAAACTCTAGGATCATCGATGAATTTATTTATTTGTGGCGCTTTTGAATCCATTTGGACCTAGGGTGACTTCAAGTCTCTGCTGTTTTCTTGGCAAGGTTTTCAGAAGTGATTTTGTCTTTTTTTCCTGGGGCTGAGTGTGTATGACTGGCCCAAGATCACCCAGCTGACTTTATCTCTAAGGTGGGACTAGAGCTCACAGTCTCCCAGTTTGAAGCCTGGTGCCTTCATTATTACATGTAGTCCTTAACGTACGACTGTTTTATTTTACAATGGTTCGAGGTTACGACGGCCTCGGTAACAGTGACTTCTGCCCTGAAGTTACAGCCACTGCACCACCCGATAGCCATGGGATCATGATTTGGATGGCACTGCCTTGTGGTCATGTGATTCCCAACCTGCAACCTTCAAGGTTGACTTCCAACAAGCAAAACTTGCTTAAGCCAGATTCGCTTAACAAGCTTGTGATTCACTGAATGACATGAATTCCCTTAATCACCATGGCCAGTCCCTTAATGACCAGAGGTGGCATTCAGCCAGTTCTGACCAGTTCTGGAGAACCAGTAGCGGAAATTTTGAGTAGTTTGGAGAACCAGCAAATCCCACCTCTGACTGGCCCCGCCAACCCCATCTCTTCTCTGCCTCCCGAGTCCCAGCTGATTGGCTGAGTCTTCTTTGGTTGCCCTGCACAGGAGAACCGAGCTGGAAAGCAGGTTCGTGGGTAGGGATGGAATGGGATTTTGCAGTAACCTTCCCCCAGGAGTGTAGTGAGAATGGAGATTTTATAGTATCCTTTCCCTTCCACGCCCATCAAGCCACGCCCATCAAGCCACGCCCACAGAACCGGTAGTAAAATATTTTTTGAATCCCACCATTGTTAATGACCATGCTAGAAATGGTCCTAACATCGGATCTGGTCATGTGATGATTCCCTTAACAATCACATTGTTTAGCGACCAAATTTCTGCTCCCAATTGTGGTCGTAAGTGAAGAGCTACCTCTGTACCGAATTGGCTCTCCAAGGGAAACAGCACTCTTAACCTAGATGACATGAAACCTGTGACTTTAGCTGTTGATCACAATGCCGGCAACTGAGCAGCTGCAGAGCATTAGAAGATCAGGCTGCAAGGATTAGCTTTTGACTTGAATGTAACATGGTCTAATTTCTCAATTACAACATCAGAGAGGAAGGAAACAAGGGAGGAGAAGGAGGAAGATGAACGAATGTGTTTCTAAGAAATGGGATCTGACTGCTTTTGAGCATTATCAAGAAGATAATCAAAATAATAGCTGCCGAGGAGAAGACATTTATGGTTGCATCTTTACCGATGCCAGAAATATTCCACAAGTCAATAACGCACACCATTCTACGCAGCCTCAAACAGATGTGGTTAATTAAATCAGGAACTCGGTGCAGGAAATTATGCACTGCTGAAAAACACATGGTACACCTGTTAATAATGAAACAGTTGGGAAGGCAGCTTGGCAAATGGTTCCAAGCCCAGGAGAAATGCTCAAGTGTGTTCAGAAACAAAGGGCTGGTGGGGGGAATCAAGAGGAAACACACTTCCGGATAAGCCAGTGAGATACATAACACTTGGTATTAAGGACAAATTATTGTGCTCTATAGGCATCCCTCAAATAAAAAAAAAAGAAATAGGTTGCAGGAATCTGTGGTCCCTCAAAACTGCTTGTGAGTGCAGTGATTTTATAACAGCTGTGCATTCTTAGGAGTTTTATTTCTTTATTCCTATTCTTACTCTTCCTAGCAGTAGGATTGATCACTTTGTTCAGAATCAGAATAGAGCTGGAAGGGACCTTAGAGGTCTTCTAGTCCAGCCTACCGCTCAAGCAGGAGACCCTATACCAGGGGTAGGGAAACTTGCCTCTTCTATCACTTATGGACTTCAACTCCCAGAATTCCTGAGTGAGCCATAAAAGGTTCCCCATTTCTGGCCTACTGGTTTTTCAGTTGTGGGGGAAATCAATTTTTGACTTTAATGGGACTGTTCAACATACAAATGTAGGACATATAAAGAATATATAAAGAATACAAATTCCTTGTGTGTCCAATCACACTTGGCCAATGAAGAATATTCTGTAAAGAATAAGGAATATTCTATTTTAGCAGTAGGATTTCAATTTCTTCCAGTGCTTCTATGCAGCGACATACTTATTATTCATGATTTCTATAAATATTTGGAAATACCTGGATGCTGGAAACAGAAGTTGCTCGTTTTTGGATTCTGGTGGATTTATTTTTAATTACACATGCATAAAATCAAGAATCCAATGGCACCGAAAGTTTTAGAAATCTTTGTATACTTCACAGCTGCAGGTCTTTGTTGATGTACGACCACAATTGAACCCAAAATTTCTGTTGCTAAATGTTGTGGTTTGCCGGCAGCAGGTGCAGACAGCTGAGGTCTCGGAGAGCGAGGACTCAGATGAGGGGCCTGCGTGTGATGCAGGGATGGGGCCAGGACCATCAGGGAGTGGAATGCTGCCTTCAGAGATTGTGGAGGCTGGCAACAGCGATGAGGAGTTCCCTGAGGAGCCTGTGCCCAGTGCGCATGAGCACAGGACTGCTTGAAGTAAAGAGCAGCTGCAGCAGCACGGATGACTTGGGAGTAAGGCTGCAAGGTGATGGACCCTCCCTTAAGGGATAAAAGCCAGTTGAGAAACCGGAGTTCTTTGTAGGAAGCAAAGAAGTTTTGCACTCAAGCCTTGTGGATGTTCGGAATATCTTGGTTGGTGTTTGGAGACTCTTTGTGTTTGAAATATTTCTTAGTAACTTTATCTAGTGTTCATGGCAGCCTTGCACAATCTTGGCAAGGCTCGTTCTTATCAGAGACAATTAGTTTGAAACAGCCTTTTCACTGGAAAGGAACAGAATTTGTAAAGAATCATTAAAAGGTTTTGCTGTTACCTCCGTTTTGTGTTTGTTTCCTTGGAACGAGGTTTGGGTCAGAACAAGTGTTCATAAAGCAGCTCAAAACAGATAGAAGGAGATACTGTTCTCAGGCAATAGGACTTATACATCAAGTGGTTCGGTTAGTCCTCGGTGTACAACAGTTCATTTAGTGGCCGTTCAAAGTTGTTCAGTGAATTTGACTCCATTTTACGACCTTCCTTACCACGGTTGTTAAGTGAATCACTGCAGTTCTTACATTAGTAACAAGGTTGTTGAGTGAATCTGGCTTCCCCATTGACTTTGCTTGTCAGAAGGTTGCAAAAATGGATCATATGATCCTGGGACACTGCAAGCGTCATAAATATGAGTCAGTTGCCAAGCCTCTGAATTTGGATCACGTGACCACGGGGATGTTGCGATGGTCATAAGTGTGAAAAATGGTCAGAACTCACTTTTTTCTCAGTGCCGTTGTAACTTTGAATGGTCATTTAAGTGAACTGTTATAAGTTGAAGACTACCAGTACTAGAAATTGCACACAGAAAAACATTCAGAAGTAAACCTTAATTCAGAATAAATGAATATGAAGAGCCGTCCCTAAGTTTAGAAAAGAAAAGAAAACAGCGTTTGCATTTTAAGTCTTTTAAAGAAATTATAAGAAGAATATTAGAGAAAACAAAACAGCCGAGTTATAAAGTGCATTTTAATATGAAGACGTATCTGCTGTTTAATCAATTCTGCTTATTGACGGAAGGGACTAATTGTTTAAGTAAAGCCACGCAATCATCCGCAACGCTAAAGGGAAAGAAGTGGCATTATAGTTTCTGAAAACAAAACATAATAGAAAAAGTGGTGCCAAAGCTAGAGAACAGATGTTAGGTATAATAGACAATTCATCCGTCACAGTCAACATCAAGATACATTAAAAAAATCTATAAAAGTAATATATGTCCTCAATATTAATCATCTTTTATACGTACGCCGTATACCATACAAATGAAATGCTTAACTTTTAATTCACTGTGCCAGCCAAGCACAGCTAAGGCTCGGTGGGTAGAATTTTTTTTATTATTATTATTAATGCTCCAGCCGTAAAGAAAGCTGGCTTCGTTAAAATACGTAGTCATGCTTTCTGTCTGAAATGCACCAAAAGCAAATTAAAGTCTAATTATTCGTTCGACAAAAGATGTCTTAATGGCACGGTGCCTTCAAGTGCATGTTTTTTGAAGCGCTAAACACAACATATTTCCATCAGCTCTACAATAACCCTGTGAAAAAGGTGGGTGATTTATTGTTCCTTTTTTGCACAAAGGCTAAGAAGTCCATCCGTACCAAAGTCATTTTACCCACCTTGGAAGGATGGAAGGTTGAGTCAATCTGAAGCAGTCAGAATCAAACTCCTGGCAGTGGGCAGAGTCAGCCAGCAATACTGCATTCTAACCACTGTATAACATGGAAGGAAAGAGGGAGGGAGGGAGGGAAGGAAGGAATAGCCCTTAGACTTATATACAACTTCACAGTGCTTTTACAGCCCTCTCTAAGCGGTTTACAGAATCAGCCTCTTGCCCCCCACAACCTGGGTCCTCAGTTTACTGACCTCGGAAGGATGGAAGGCTGAGTCACTAAGCAACTGATTGCAGGTCAAGGTGGGTAAATTGAGGACCCAGATTGTTGGGGGCAAGAGGCTGACTCTGTAAACTGCTTAGAGAGGGCTGTAAAGCACTATGAAGTGGTAGGAAGTTAAGTGAAGCAGTCACTTTAAGAACCCTGTGACTAATTTAACAATGGCAGTGATTCAACTTAACAACTGGGGCAAGAGAAGTTGTAAGACGGGACAAATTCACTTAACCAATTTCTTTCACTTCACGAGATAAATTTTGGCCTCAACTCTAAGTTCTAAGTGGAAGACTACCATCATGCCTTCGGTTCCCCTAATTAGTTTCCATCCTCAAAAAAAGAAAAGAGCTCCATTACACCACTATAGCGCTCATGATATTATCCGTGGTCAGCTCTGAAACGCACCAAGAAGAGAATAACTTCGATGTCCCGATAAGACTTATTGACGCTGAGTTTTACACCTGCTGCTAATAAAACTGCACACCAACGAAAGTTGTGCAAAGTGTGTGCAGGAGGAAAGGAGTAGGGATCAGAAAGCTTAGGGCATCATCTAGGCCTTTGAGCCTTGTGCTCTTAAGAGCCGATTTTTCTCTGGTTTCCATTATTTTTTGTAATGTTAGGAATTATGTCAACATCAGGAGAATACAGAGGCCTGGGAAAATGAGCATTAAATAATCACAAAGAGAAAGTCGCAGCTCTCAAGTTGGTGCTATAATGTAATTTATTTCATGAGAAGACAGCAAAATGTGTTGCAACTTGTGTCTTTCTCAGGACAAAGTTGATGTATTATTTTAAGTGAATTGCTTTTGTTGTGCTGAAAAATAAAAAGGGCTCTCGAAGAGGAAGGGAGGGTAGAAACACAACGAACGGCAATAATAAATACAACTTTGTAGCTATTCCATCTGTCACTCCTTAATGGAATTTTTTTTTTTTTGCTGGAAATAATAATAATAATAAAAAAAGAGACCACAGTGGTAGAAAAACAAAGGTTAGGAAATGAAAAATGACCCTGTTTACGTCCCTCTTGTGTACCATACTTGAAACAAGCAACTGCTTCATAAAAGCCATAACGAGAAGCATTTGAGTCATATGAAATCCATGCTCCTCTAAGGAAACCCACAGTAAAAGAAAAAAAATCCAGGCAGTATTTATGAAATCACAAGTTCCCATCAACAGTTGAGATCCATCAACTCTTTCTCCCTCCAGGGGGAAAGATTAAAACTTACATCAGAGGTAGTCAGAATTAGAATAGAGATGGAAGGGACCTCGGAGGTCTTCTAGTCCAGCCCCCCCAGCAGGAGATTCTATACCCGTGATGGCGAACCTATACCACGTGTGCCGGAAGTGGCACGCAGAGCCATCTCTCAGGGTACGCCAGCCATCATTCATTGCTCTCTGGATTCAGCTGGTCTCGCATGTGTGGGAGTGCTGGAAACTGGAAGAACAGCTCCCCAGAGTGCATTCATATACCAGCCAGCTGGTCTTTCACATGTGCATGCGCGTTAGAAACTGGAAGACCAGGTGGCTGGCATGCATGTGCACGCCAGGAAGCTAAGCTTCTGGTTTCCGGTGCACGTGCTTCTGTTTTGGCACTTGGTGCTGAAAAGGTTAACCCCCACTATCACGTACCATTTCAGACCAGTGGCCGTCCAATCTCTTCTTCAAAACCTCCAGTAATGAAGCACCCATCACTTCTGAAGGCAACTTCTGTTCCAATGATTAATTGTTCTGACTGTCAGGACTTCCCAATACCAGGTTGCTTCTCTCCTCTGAATTACGGCCACTCGTAATGGTGGTAACTTAAGGAGGAGGAGGAGGAGGAGGAGGAGGAGGAGGAGGAGAAGAAGAAGAAGAAGCGGAGGGGAGGAGGAGGAGGAG